TCGGATAGGGATAAAATTGTTTAGGAATGAACGGGTTTAAGAGTTTTAAGAGTTTAAGAGTTTTTAGCCAAATGCTTTATAATATAGTATAGATATCGTCATAGTAACGTAACGATACTCCAAATAAAATGGGTGTGTTCTTTAACCCAACCCTAAATCAAAATTTGCCATTTCATCAGAACCCTAATTTCACTCACATCGTGGTGAGAAATTTTGGTTGCAAGATACTGCGAAATTCACCTCGATTTGGACGTAAAATTTCCTAAAAGCAAAAGCAAATAATGACTCGTATTTCGCTACTGAGTGATCAAAATGACAGCCATTCGCATGCCGGAGAAGAATCCGATTCAACGCCGCACCAGATGATCGAAATTGAAGAGGAAGACGACAAGGTACTTGTTCTTTTTCAGTATTATGAGGTAATTTTTACTGTAGACTGTAATACCTGAGTAGTGACTGCATACCTTGTTGTCGTATGATCTTCCCCAAAACAAATCCATTTCTGATTCTAGAAATATGAAAATTTGCTGCTTTTGAAGTCAGTTTTCACACACAACCAAAATTTTCTTCCAGAAAAATAGTATTCCTAACTTTTTCTGAAGTTAAAAATTAATTAATTTGACATCTGTTGTAAGATGTCGATTTTGTTTTGGGAATTGAGCTAATATTCTATTGAATTCTTCCTCGTTCGGCGAAAATTGTTTATTCTACAAGTATCTTCATTTTAATACAAGTGCACTAGGTACGTAAAGGAGTCTAATTGAACCGAACAACAGATACGTCCAAGGCTGGATTGATTAAAATACTTGAAATAATATTAATTACTATTGTCGTGCTCATCTGGGAAAGAAATTTTAAAATACTTGAAATAAGTTCTTATTCGAGTTGTCTTGCAAATACCACTTGAGATCGAATTGCAGCGTGGATTTGAGGTCAAATTCAAAACTAAGTCATAGATTTACAAAATGCATATGACAAAAATGAGAATTATCGTTTAATTTGTGTCCTTTGGCATTTTGTATTTTGTAGGCCCCAATTACTCTTACATAGTGTAAAGAGAAGTTAAGTATTATTGTGCATCCTCCTTACTTGATGTGAGGAGAAAGAAGGCCAACTGATAAAGTGTTGAATAGAAAACAAATTCATACCACTCGTTTCCCAAGATTAGAGACATGTTTTAGCTTTTGTTGTCATTTGAATAATTTTAGGATTCAAACTTGTATAGGTGTATTCAGGAAGAGAACCAAATTGTACGGTTGTTGTACCGTGTTAAATTCTAGAAATCAGTGACTGCTTCTTTGGTTTCTGAAGTAAGTTTAAAATCGTATGAAATTTGGCCGAGGATGACAGTTGGTGATAGAAGTGGACATATATGTGTAATTTATGGCTGAAGTTGAGTATCATCATTGATATTTTGGCTTGAGGTGTTTAAAAACCGTTATTTCATGTGATGGAATGGATATTGTCTTTATGTGTATGTTTGGTAGAAAAGTGGCTCTTCATCTATTACAAAGAAAAGTTGCACTCGACTTTGTATGTCTAACGTGTTATGTTTGAATTTAAAATTAATATGAGGTTAACTTTTAAAAGGAAAATACGATAACAGGATTGAACTTTATAACATAAATACATAAGAAACCTATCAATAACCTTTACTTATGTTTTTATATGAATAAAACTGTTGAAGATGTTCTGAAGTGTTTCCCTTTCGAGTTCATAGAGCCCAACCCAGAAGATTAAAGATCTTGAAGTATGTGTTCCCATTGTATATGGAACTATGTCATTTTGGCTTGGAAGGAAGGCCACCGAGTAAGTGGAATCTGATTTTGATGCATGCATTTGCATTTGCGTTTGCTTTTCCTTTTTCTGGTTATCCTTTTCAGGAGTTTGAACAAAATTAGAGTGTGCATTTGAATGAATGTTCACATATTTTCCTCTAACATGTACTAGAACTCAATCTCATACGTGGACGGTTTATGTGCGTGGGGCAACAAATGAGGACCTGGGTGTAGTCATCAAGAAAGTTGTATTCCAATTGCATCCAAGTTTCACTAACGCAAGGCGAGTGGTAGAGTCGCCTCCATTTGAGCTGACAGAACGTGGATGGGGTGAATTTGAAATAGCCATCTCAATATTCTTTCATAATGATGTCTGTGATAAACAATTAGACTTGTGAGTAGTTCATTTAATCTTTTTCGCCTTTTTTCCCTTCATCATCTGTATTGCATGTAGTTCAAATATTATTGTTTCGGTCATTATTTTCAGGTTTCACCATCTGAAGCTATACTCTGAAGTGGAGCATGGTCCTTTATCGACCAAGAAACCTGTGATCATTGAATCTTATGATGAGATTGTTTTCTCAGACCCTTCCGAGGAGTTTCTTGCTCGTGTTCTTAATCATCCATCTGTAATTGTGCCACAGCTTCCAGCCACTTTGAACTTGCCTCCTGGTAATGTTTCTTACAGCAGTGTCTTGTGCATCTAATATTGAGGTAACTTTAAAGTCTGGTTTGTTGCTTTTTATCTCATAGCACCAATAGAAGATGTGCATGAGAAGAAAAGAGGAGACACCAAAGATCATCCACTTGGTCAATGGTTCATCAGATTTTCCGAGGCGGATGAGCTATTAAAACTGGCAGAGGCCCGTCAGCAGGTCAATGTTTCTTGCTTCATTTCTTTTCAGTTATTAGATAGTATTCCTCATGATACTATTCTTTTCTTTATACCATAAATAAGAAGAAACATCTACCTTTATAAATTTTGAGATGCTAGTGATTGATATGCATGCTTTTTGTAAGGATGAATATCTGAAGCTACTCGGCCAAGTTTCGATGACTCAATGAACCCTTTTTTAACTAAGTTTTGATCTACACATATTAGACGTTATTCGTACGATTATATGCTAATTCAAGTACAAAATGTATTAGGGAAGCATGGTATTCATTTAAATCATCAGAAGAACAACTTTTTACTATATATAGATGACCATTTTTCACCAATAAAAACGTATGGAGCATTTATGCTTTAACTTCCCCCCCCCCCCCCCCCCCCCAAAACGTAACAAGAATGCCAGAAATGAAAAGGTGATATTTTCCAAAGATTTAATGAGTGGAAATGATATATCGATAAAGTTTTTAGGACCACACTTGCATGAGACTTACGAGTTATCCCCATCCAGATGTCCACCATATAGCAGTAGTCCTTATATCATTCATGTCCATAAAATCTGAAGTTTGAGAAGATTTAGGTGGTGTTTGTTTTCTAAGAGATGCTGAAGTCTGATTTCACTTCTGATTTATAAGAGGTGGTTCTGAAGTCTGAAATCTGAATTAGTAAGATTGTTTTTACGTTTGAAGTCTAAATAGTTTGTTACACAAGTATAGAAGATGAATAGTTTTTGCTAATAAATCCCTTTCGTCCCTCAAAATATGAACCATGTGATAGAGGGCGGATTAGGATCAAGAGGTTTTAAGGGATATATTTACCACTTCAAATTTCAGAGGATATTTAGAGCTTTTAACCTCTTATTTTAAAAATAAAACAAACGCTCTTAATACCCAAACGTCCGAACGGATCAGACTTCGGAGGTATTAAGAGGTAATTTTGAAAAAACAAACAGACCCTTAATCTCACCCCAATGCTTCTTTCCAAATTCGTTTTTAGGTTGCGTTTGGTACGCAAGACAAGATGAGACAAGATATAACAGAACAAAAAACTTGTCATCCCATGTTTGGTGTGACATTTAGACTGGGATAGGACATGACTGAGTGCAAAAATATGTCCCACCAAAATAGGTGGAACAAAGATCCGGGAGATGTGATGAATTGGTTAATTACTAAACTACCCATATCTAATGAAAACTCTAAAACCTTACACAATTCTTTCACTCGTCTACCACTCTTGCTCTTCCAGTCTTGTCCTGTTTAGTCCTGTTTGCATACCAAACACATGCTTACAGTATACTTGTACTTAATAATGTAAATGTGGTGTCATTCTCAATTGTCGCACCCACCACCCAACCATGCCAATTCAATTAGCAACTTGATAATGCTTAAACTTTGGAACACCTGGAGGTGATCTTGACATGTTTTTGTTGCATCAGGTACAAAATTATATTGTGAAATTGAGAAGGCGTTTGAGTATGCTGGAAGGGTCGTCCCCAACACTAAAAACAAGTGTCAGTTAGCACATCGTATGCTGGAAAGTAGCTTTTTATAGCGTTTTAAGCATAAATAATAACTAAAATCAGGTAAACTACCATCTACTTCCACTTTATTCCACACATTGCTTAGTTCATGCATGGAACCCTTGTACATATCTGCATATTTACTCACACTGCACCTACATCTGCTTCATGGAAAGTGTAGGAAGGTATCCTTAGATATCTCTAGCTCTGTTATTTTGTACAACTTACAATGCATTGGTAGTTGTTAAAGCTTGGCGAAACCCATTTGGCATTTTACCATAAAACTTTGTTTTGCAAGCTGGGGCCCAGAAGATTTACTGGATTCGTTTGGTCTAGTTTTAGCTGTCTTAGCATAAGATAGTAAAATAATTTTGAATTGTGCTTTGGTTGTGACATAGCATGTGAAAGTAGCTGAAAGGCCATGATAGACTTGCTTTATTTGGTTGTAATGCCCTTTCAATAGGAGATAGACTATATGTGGTATCTGCTATTAGTCTTTGCCAAGTCCAATATGAATAGATAGATGATTGTCTTCTTTCTATCCACCATTGGCTGTATTGATGTGTCCACTTTCAATTATGGAACATGGGACTATCCAAAATTGCTATATGCTTTAGTTTTCCCTTTAGATGGGAAGCTTAGATAGTTTTTTTTTTCCTTTTTGAAGCAAGTAATATTTATATATGTAAATGGAGTTCACATATTCCTCACGGTTGGTGAGGTTGGAACCCTTGATTTTTAGGAAGGTTGTGTTGTCAGATACCACTGTGTCAATGACCCTTTTGGTGGCTTATGCAAGTCAGATACCAGTTTACGTTTTTCCTCCAGCTCCGTCATACATTGCTTCCCTTCTATACTTGTTTTTCATCCAGGGGTTGTTTAATGGATTCTGAATAATTTGGTACAAAATACATGGTCACAATAATGATTAAGATGCTATGTATGGTTTAATGAAAAATAATCGTTTAAAGATAGTGTTTTGAATGATTGAAAATTACCATTTTACTCTTTTTGAATGAAAATGTTGAACTAAACAGAATAATATAATGATGTTGATACCTTTTGAATTTACTCTTTAATCGGCTTTCTTTTCTCCTTTTTGATCCAGAAGAAACCCCATTAAGCAAGCTTCTCTCTTCGAACCCTACTTGCCCAAGCAACAAAGCGAAGAGCAAAGCATCAAATATAACAAAAGCAACGATGAACAACGACATGATCAAACAAATGAGAAAACGTGAGGGGTAAAACGGAACAATGAAAAACGTTAAATCAAAAAGTGCGACCATGGCCGTCTAATTAAATTAGAGGTAACCTTTGATTCAGTCAAAGGTGTAGAAAATTTAGGAAATTGATAGGTAAAGATACTTAGAATTAAAATGTGGTATGATAATTGGATAAACCCTCAAGTTAAATGCAAGTTGGTTGATAGGTCTAAGTGGCCTACAAGACCATAAATGTTGAGGGTCCTCCTTTGTAAGGCAGAAAGAACCACGAAGGATCTAACCGACTAAAGGGATTCAACAATAGTTCTGGTACTTTTTAATATATTATTCATTTACGAAACATATTATTAAAAATAAATGTTGGTCGGTCAATTCAGTGGTGGATCCATAAACTTTTATAGTTTGGAGTACATTTAGGAGTGTCGAAAAAATTTCGAAGCCAGATAGTTCATCTGAACTAAAACGGTTTCGGGTTTTTCATTTTTCGCTTAAACGGTTTGGTTATCCGAATAAAAATAACTTATTTTGTTCAGTTTTTAGTTGGTTTTTTTACTATTTTGGTTAAACTAACACGTTATATTAGTATTTATACATTTATCTATCTATATTACCTTATAAACCAGATTTATCAAAAAACTTAAAAACAATTTTTAATGCACAAAGTACTATACATTTATGCACAAAGTCTTGAAAACAACTCATAATGCATTAAGTACTACTATTTTATGCATTCATTATTAAAATCTCTTAATGTACAATTAAAATAACATATAGTAGTATAATACAAGTTACCAATGCACATTATTACTTTTTCTTTTCATGTTTCCAATATAATTTTGACATCTTTCGCTCATGTTTTCACTTCTCATACCTCTATGTCTTCTCCCCATCCCCCAAGGTGAGATTCAAATTCACCATGAGTTATTAAAAGTTCTCTCATTTAATTGCTCTAGAACTCTCGCTCTCGATCTCTTGATTCTTTGCTCTTGGTGTAAATCGAACACATTTGTGGAGTCGTTTAAATATGTTGGATTTTAAATATATTGGATTTTAAACTGTCATACAATTTCTTTCATTGATAGACTGTAATTGGAACCATAACTCTTATTTATCCAAATTGTATTAATATGTAAAGACCAAGTGTAACTTATATCATCGTTAAATCATCTATAATAAAACCAGTGAAACTTCAAAATCATTAAAATTCACGGCTCCGGCCGTATTTCACAGGTACACAACTAATATAGTTTAAACCTAAAAGCAAATGAACACATTACATAGTAAAACAAAATCAGATTCATTTATAAACCAAAAATCATAAGTAAGAATCAAAAGCAATAAATATTTTAGGGTTCTACCTAAAACGAAGAATCAAGATGGGGAAGGAGGAGAACCAAGACACCGAATACAAAATCGATTTCAGGAGAGCTTGTCTGCTCGTAGACAATGGTATGGTCGTTCTCGACTAAAGCAAATCAGATCTGGTTTACATCTTCATGTTGGGGTCCCAAAAGGAAAACTTATTAAAAAGTGAGAATTTTGGCTTCTTGGTGTGGATTAGTTGGGGTCATGCGACACCTACAAGCAAAGCCTCCATTCGTCCCTCGATCAACTCGACTTAATCTGGTTTAACATGTTAACAATATTCAAACTATTAACGTAATATTATTTACATAAAAGATTCAAAAGAGTTTTGATATGAGAAAATCGATTATAATAACACATGTTAATTTAAGTTGATATTGTATATTTAAATGCGTTATTTCACATGATAGAACAATATATGATAAGTGGTTCTCCTTTATTTATATATATACATATAGACCTACAATCATTAATTAACCCATTAAATAATATTAACTTTGTTAACTAATACTAACAGATCATATTCTTCAAACCTGTATATTTCAAACAATTTTTAATTTATTAAGGATAATATTGTGTTTTTATATTTGTTTAATAATTTCGGTTTTTAACTTATTATTTTTGTTTTTAGACGGTTACAAAATTTTATTTAAATACAAGGGTGATGTTTGATTGGTTGACAAAAGAAGCCTAATCACAAGGGTGATGTCTGATTGGTTTGAACTTGGGTTTCAAAGGTTGTCTGAAGGTCTTATGTTCAAATACATGGAGGAATAAAAATTCCCTTGTGACCACGAGGTTCAAATGTTGTGACTCCATGAGTGATCGTCTTGGAATTAGTCGACTCATGTAACGAATTGGACTTCCAAGATCAATAAAAAAAAGCAGCCGTCTATATATAGATATATACATCTATTTGTGTTGTATATATATATACTTAAACTAATATCTTACACAAAAGTCAAAAAGGTGGAAAGAAAAGTCAAAATCCAAAGTCCAAATGTATGAAAGGCCACAAATGCAAACACCCTTTTCAACTAAAACCTTACATTCCTTAGCCACTTTTTTGTACCTCATTGCCATATGAGTTTTGGCTCCACCATATAATATGTACAACCTAATTTGTACCTTTGCTTGATAGAGAGATGGAGGGGAGGGTATATATGGAAATAAATTAAGGAACTTTTCTAAACAGGTATGAAAATACATCGTACTAATAAATAGTCAGTCTTTGTAAAGACGTCGTCTAAGAAAGCTAGTTATATCTAGATCCATATGACGACGTCTTCGCGTTAGTCAATACACAAATCTCGTGTAACCGTACATGTTGTTGGCAAGAGAATGTTTGGAAAGCTATTCTTCATAATCAAAAACATCTGATTGTTTGTCAATATCTAAAAAGACAATTAAGATTGATTTCATCTGTGTTTTGAGAATCAATTTTTAAAATGTTTTTTTTTTTTTAAATTTGTATTTGAAATTGTTCATTTATAGATAATTCATTTTCCCCAAAATATGAATGGGGTCCTGGTTTTGGTTAAAAAGATGAAAATTTTAGAAAGTTTGTTTCTTAAAATAGGAATAAAAATAAAGTTGGTTTCAATTTAATGCAATTTACCCGATTTGATATATCATCTAATTACTATGGGAAGCAATATGGACACAAACAAACGTTACATATGTTTCTAGTATTACCGAAAGAAAAATATTTTTGGTAAACATGGACTACAAATATTATAATTATGTATATATAGGATTACCAGAAGAAATATGCATACATACACACACATATTACTATTATTTCGTCCAAGTTCACACACACATATATATATATATATATATACACACACACACACACATATATATATATATATATATATATATACAAGATCAAATGTTAACCTTCATTTTTGTGTTAACTTTATTAACTGATCTTGGTCATCCAAATCTATAACCAACGGTTAAGATTAATCAATAAAAAAATTAAATTTTAAAGTTTGAATTTTAACGAGGCCTTGCGAACAATGATGAAAGGGGCATTTTGGGAAGAAAAAGTACACTTATTAAGAGTATTCTAGTAAATTGAATTCATTTGTAACCCCCAAACAATTAATGGGGAGTTACAAACAATCAAATCCCAAAAAATATGCATTCATATTATTATTATTATTTTTACTATTGATCTTCTATGTTCATTCTTGTATGAATTCCTAAATCGCAAAAGAAACACGGTAGTAACAATTTTCGGTATTGATCAATTTGAACACAAATGAATCATGAACACAATTTGAACAAAAATGAACAACCGTGAACACAATTTGAACACAAATGAACACGATATGTGCAATTTTTGGCCCATAATTCACATACATAGACGTCCCACAAAATTAAGATAGCATCTGTTAATTTGTGTTCATCTGTTAATTTATTCAAATTGTGTTTACGGTTCATTTGTGTTCAAATTGTGTTCACGGTTCATTTGTAATCAAATTGATCATTACCGAAAATCGTTACTACCGTATTTCTTATGCAATTTAGGAATTCATACAAGAATAAACATGGAAGATCAATAGTAAAAAAAAATTAATAATATGAATGCATATTTTTTGGGATTGGATTGTTTGTAACACCCCATTAATTGTTTGGGTGTTACAAATTAATTCAATTTACTAGAATACCCTTGTAAGGGTAAATAAACAAGACATAAACCTATAAGAATAATGAAATTTGATTGGTTGAGAGAGTTTTCAAAGTTAACACAAAAATGATGGTTAACATTTGATCTTCCCCCCCCTCTCTCTCTATCTATCTCTCTATCTCTCTCTCTCTCTCTATCTATATATATATATATATATATATATATATATATAGAGGAGTGATCATATGAAA